CATGGAGCCATGTGGAAATCAGGCTGCGTAGCCGATGATTGTAACTTTAGCATGTAGTCTGCAAACGGTGTGAACACGCCGTTTATTCGTAGATCTTTGCTCAACAGGTGGAGGCCTGAGGTTATGTGGTAGTGCCTCGTCGTATGAGCCATGTCTCGACGGCGACCTCCTGATCAAGGAGCAGCCGCTTCGGTCAAATTGATCGAGGGAGCAGGTTTAGACGACGCTGCCTTTCGCGAAGCTTACAAGTGGGACAGTAGTTACATCCTTTTTGAGGTGTTTGGTGATGACAACGAGGTCTTAGGCCTTGCAGTGGGCAAGGTGGACAATGTGTGGCCGTTTGACGTGAACGGCGGTTTCGTTGAGATCTCGTATCTAGGTACGGATTCGGAGTACTATCGGTGGTTCATTGAAAACAGAGGCAAAAAAGGCGGATTGCCCGAGGACTACCTACACCATCTATGCCGTAAGGGTCTTACCTCGTGCATGCGTTCTCAAGGACGTCGGTGCATTCATGTGCAACGATGGGCAGAAATCAGTCGTCAAAAAGCTAGTGAGATCCTGCGAGAATGGGGTTACCGTGGGCTGGCCCGTGATTGTGAGGAGCCGGGGGTCAAGCCCGTTGATCGGAATGCATCGGTGGGGACTGCACCGAAAAGACGTGCTAAGCGTAAGCCACCACCACAGGACCTGGAGGGGGATTCTGATCATGGGGATGTGCACACGGTGGATGACGACGACGATGATGACCCACCACCTAGGCGGGGTAGGAAACCCAGGTCTAAGCCCGAAGTGCGAGGAGGTTCTCGCGAGAACGTGCTGGACCGCATGATGGAGGTGCCCGAGGAGGTGCCAGACAGGGATGGTGCGGGTGTTGGCCCGCTAGATGCTAAGCTCTCCGATTTGAGGGGCAAGCTTCGCAGCAAGGTTGGTCGTAAGGGTGGTGGCCCTGGGATGCTTCTAGCAGAAAAGGCTCAATCCGCCATGTCCGCCAAAAAGAAGAAGCGCCGAAGCAATCAGGAGGATGTTGTCAAGAAGTTGCGGAGGGCATTATCTTCGGGTCGGACAAAGGCCCGAGGATCAACCGACCCCGGGGACGATTGGTCAGACTCGGAAAGTGAGGACGACGATGACCTGTATGAGGGCAGGGGACACCAGTCTGACATTTCGGCAAGACGCAAGAAGCTCAAGAAAATCGCCGAAGATCATCCCGGAAAGCTTCTAGAGCAGGGGCTGAGTCTCATGAAAGAACAGGTGGGTGCCACGTATGGTGGTGGTGCCGAAGAGGAGGAGAGGCTCACCCCGGTTGTTATGCGGTACTATTTGAGCGTCGTCCTGCCTAATTATCCTGTGAAGGTGCAGGGGGAGGCCCGGGTGAGGGAAATGCGAACACTGGCTTCCGCACTTGATCTTCTGTGCCGGGGGAAGATTGATTCAGCAGCCGATATGCTGATGCAGAGGTTTAAAAGCCTTTGTATGTCGCTGCGAGACAACAGTGACCGGTTTGGGAAGTTTCTCGAGCTGTTGCCCGATGACGTTGTGGGTACCGCCACCACTTTGGATGAGGTTGAGTTTGCACGCACCCTTGCAGTAAAACAGGCCAAAGCGGACGAGATATTGGCGCGGGCTTCTGGGAAGTCGGGCTAGGGACTCCGCGGGGGGCTGGATGTGGCGATTCTGGCCCCTCAACGCGAACCCTTACCTCGATTGCAGCCACAAGTGCCAAATTCACCCGAGACCATGGACCTGCCCTCAAGCAAGAGTCATCGCGCGGACAGTCCAGCCAAGGAGCGTCGCTCACCATCTCCTCGAAGGCCTGCTTTGATTCGTCGCAGGCCGGACAGCGCAACAGAGGAAGCTCATCAGCGCAAGGTGTCATTCACGGATCAGGTGGTGCAGGCCCCCAAAGTCCAGGGACAGGGTGCGATCAGCCAAGCTCGCAAAAATGTTCCCCGGAAGGAGGGGGAATCGCGACAAGCATGGAAGAATCGCATTTTCGACCACCTGCGGAAGCAGGGGTCAAGCCGGTGATGGCCGGTGATTCGTTTGATGCAGGCCGTGACGGCGGCCAGCTCCTCTCCCCTGTACAGGCGGGTGCTGGCCCGCAGGGGACGTCTGAGGGGAGGTGTGTCAATGTGTCATCTACTGGGCAGTGTCCTCTTTTTGGGGATGCCCAGGTTTTTGGTAAGCTTTCCAGTGTGTTCGGGCTGGATGCGGAGAGGGGTGTAACATTCTATTGTCGCCAGATGCTTGAAAGCTGTATTGAACAACACGTTCTCCAACTTGGATTCTCTTGCCTCCAGCTCCTGCTGATTTCTCCGAGGGACGGTCATGTTGTCAGACAAGTTGCGACCGCTATGAAAGACTGTAGTTTTCCCATGCCTAGCCAGCGACAGCGATCTTGTTTACCGCTGCCGCTACCTTCGGTAGGAGCTGTGCTCAAGATGGGAGAGCTGATAAAGTGCCCTGAAGCAGGCTTGGCGATCTACAGGAACAGCGCATTGAGGCACATGGGCAAGCAACAAAGAGCAAAGCTGGTGTCGGCCAGCGCGATGCAAGTGTGGAGACTTCTTTCAGTGATTGTGCTGAATGGAGAGCACGGGCACTGGCAGGTGATAGCTCCGGCAGCATCGCATGCGGAGACTGCAGCCCAGGCCAAGTGCTTACAGCACTTAACCCAGTGCTGCGCTTGGTGGACTCGGGCTCCGTTGCAGGTTCGACCCGAAGTTGATTTTTACACACTGTCGAGGTCGAAGCAAGTGGATTATTCGGGTGATGAGGTCCTCAAAGCTTTGCCTCTGAGGCTGGGCGAGCTGATGCCGGGTCTGCCTGAGGATGGAGTGGCTGGCTCCCTAGATGCCAGTGCGATTGCAGATGACACGGTGCAGCGCTGGCTGCTTGATCCAACTGTAACGTTATTGGAACCTGCATCATGGCCTGATCCACTGCCTGCCGCATCTATGAAGGTTGACCGCGAGCATTGGTTTGAGATTGTTGGGCTTTTGTTTAAGAAGCGCATCCTCGTCCCTATTGATTTTGAGGAAATCTTTAAGGTTCGAGGCAAACCCGTTCTTAACGGTGTGTTTGCCGTTGAGAAGAAAGGCACCCCTCTTCCAGGCGAATTGCGTGTCACTCGTCTCATCATGAATCTCGTTCCGGCAAACAGTTTACAGAAGCTGATGGCAGGCGATTTAGGCACGCTGGCGGGTTCCGCGCATTGGGCTTCAATCCAGCTGCGAAAAGGCGAAGCGCTACTGTGGTCGGGAGACGATCAGCGGGGAGCGTTTTACGCGTGGTCGCTACCTGCTGCTTGGCGAGGGCTGATGACCTTTAAATGGCCAGTACCGGGCAGGATCGTGGGTCGACCTGATGTTGACATGATCTACGTGGCGTCAGGGGTCATCCCTATGGGTTGGCTGAATGCGGTGAGTCTTTTCCAACATTTGCACCGTCGCGCAGGGCTGATGTCCCAACCCAGTGGGGCAGGCTTGGTACCATCACAGGAGTGGCGCCGTGATCGTCCCGTGCCCGCGGGAGCGGTGGAAGGTGGTGGTTGCTGGTTCCAGTTTTATTTGGATGACTTCGATTGCCCTGAAAAAGTTGACATGGCAAGTTGGAAAACTCTAGCAAACACAATGTCACAGACGCATGCGCAACAGCGACGAGCCTACAAACGTATTGGGATTGGGATCTCAGCAGAGAAAGCTCATGTTCGGGAGCCTCGTGTAGTCCGTATGGGGGCTGAGGTTGACGGTCTGCTGGGGATCCTTTCCGCTCCCGTCGCTAAGATGCTTGAGGTCGGCTGGCTATGCATGTGGCTGATGGCGCAAGGGCCTGTGTGCCCTCGTGTGTTGATGATGGTGTTGGGACGTTTGGTGAGAGTGTTTGAGTTTCGAAGACCTTTAATGGGGCTGCTGAATGATGTCTGGCCAAAAGCTATATGGGGGCAAAAGAAATCACTCCGACATGCAGGGATTCGTGAGCTTATTCGTTCTGTTTGCTTGTTGGGGCTGGCACATGTTGATTTGCGGACTCCAGTATCTGGGTTGGTCACTTGTTCTGATGCCTCGGAGTTGGGTGGAGGTGTATGTGCCACGGCTGGTTTGACAGAAGCGGGGGAGCACCTGCTTGCTAGGCTCAGTGAAACTGGACTTGAGGCGGGTATGTTCATGCCTTCTGGAAGCCACGAGCTCCCTAAACACAACGGTCCGCGAATTTTTTGTGTGAGTCTTTTCGATGGGGTGGCGGCCCTGATGGTTGCCCTTGCGCGACTAGAATGTTGTGTGATTGGGTATGCCGCGTCGGAAATGGATAAGCATAGCAAGCGCTTGATTCGTACCCGGTGGCCTGGGGTTATGGAGTTGGGGCCAGTGCAGCACATCACCGATCGCGTGGTTCAACATTTGGTTGCATGCATCGGGTATCGAATCGATTTCGTCTTGGTTGGTGCAGCGCTTTCAAACGGAAGGTCGGGTTCGCTTAGTGATGTTGTCCGCATCATCAACCTCCTTAAGGATGCATTCGCAGTCCCCGTGCATTTCATGGTTGAGCATGATATCAACATGAGCGGTGAACAGCTCGTTGAGTTCAGTCGTTTGCTGGAGGTCAAGCCTTATTTGGTCGATGCAAAGCATTTTACGTGGATTCGAAAGCCATCCCTTTTTTGGGTCTCGTGGTTTATCACAGCTCGGGATGGCGAGAAGTTGGTGGACCATGAGCGCCTTGTTGAGTGGTGTTTCCCCAATCACAAGATCTGTCGAAAGTCATGGGTGGAACCTGATTGTTCATGGGATGCTCACGCCGAGGTCCTACTCCCTGCTTTTACGGGACCTCGGTCTGGTTCTTCAGTGACTCCCAGGTCTGCAAACAGCGTGAGTGCTTCACAAGGTGCGTTTGAACGCTGGGTGAAGGACTCTTGTAAACTACCAGTGTGCCACTACGAAGCAGAGAACTTGATCACTTGTGCAGACGGTAGCCTTCGATTGCCAACTACTCGTGAGCGCGAGGTGCTCATGGGATTTGACATAGGGTACATCAGTGAGGGTTTGCCGCTCAAACTTAAGGGCAGTGAACGAGAGCTGGTGGGGTGCCAGATGATTGGGTTTTCATTGTGTGTGTATTCCTGCATGTTGCTGGCGCACGAACTCCTTACGAAATTTGGGGGAAGTGTCTGCCGAAATCGTGAGCGCCTGATTGCCATAGGTGGTGTAGCCCCCGCTGCCTGGATGACGCATCCTGTGTTTAGCAAGGCAGCTCGAGATTCCACTCGAGTCCAAGCTCTGGTAGAGTTCTACATTCGTACTGCTGAGAGGGGTGGCTCCGACGTCCGTCTGGATTTAGGTGTCCCATTCAGAGCGAAGGCTTGGCCTAGGTCAGGAGTTCAAGCAAACATTTTTCAGTGGGCCATCATTCAGGGATTCCCGTGGAAGCATGTTGCGCATATCAATGCTTTAGAGCTGCAGTCTCTTATCAATTCCGTTCGATGGCGGCTGCGCTCGGCGAAGAATTACAAGCAGCGAGTTCTATTGTTAATTGATTCGCAGGTGGTCTGCACACTGGTGGCAAAAGGGCGTACGAGCAGCTTGAAATTGAGATCAAGCTTAGCCGTACTTAACGCCCTGGTTCTCGCTTCCGGGTTGATGCTGACTGTAGCTTACGTTGACACTGGAAACAACCCATCAGATATCCCGAGTCGATGGGGCGAGCAACGCAGCCTTCTAGGAAAGCTAGGCCCCGCAAAACTTTGAAGGAGCAGATGGTCACAGAAGGCATGCGGCACCGGTATAACTCTGCCGTGCTCATGTTGCTTTACTTCCTGAATGATTTTCAGCTCTCTGTGGCAAGCTTGGACCATCTTGATGACATAGCAAGTAGATGGATTGAGCATTTGTATGCTGATGGACAGCCCAAAGGGTTGGCGAGTGACGGGCTCGCGGGTCTTCAGTATTTTCTGCCATCGTCAGCAGGAAAGCTCAAACATGCTTGGAAACTCACAAAGGTGTGGCAGAGAATTGAGCCTCCATTGCGCGTGATTCCCCTCAGCCCTGCATTGGTTTTAGGCTTCGCCGGTTTAGCTGCTGAGTTTCGGTTGTCTTCGGTCGCGGCTGGGTTGCTGCTTTGCTTTGACGCGATGCTGCGTAGTGGCGAACTTTACAGCTTGCTGGTAGGCGATATCACTTTTTATCGTGCCAAGGCTGTCGTCAGTTTACGTTCTACCAAAACGGGTAAGCGCACCGGAGCATCAGAGATGGTGGTGGTTGAAAGCCAACTGGCCATCTATTGGTTGAAAGTTGCTTGCTCAAATCGTCATGCAAATGAGCCGCTGCTCTGTGGAGGCGCAGCTGGCTTTCGCAAGTGTTTTAAGCTCTTCATTGAGTTCTTTGAAGTGAAAGGCCTTGTCAATGTTTATTCCTTGCGACGAGGTGGAGCCACATGGGACTTTCTGTCTCATCAGTCCATGGAAAGAACACTGTTGCGAGGGCGTTGGTCCTCGAACTCTTCTGCGAGAGTTTATGTGCAGGATGCAGTAGCCATGGTGAGTCACTTACGCCTCACTGAACAACAGCACGCCTGGGTACGTCGCTTTGCGCGTAACCTCAGGCCTCCTACTAACGGCTTTCAGCCAGAAAGGTAACGTGAAAGATGCCTGAAAGGAGATTCCTGAAAGGTGCCTGTATCTTTAAGAGATCCTTCACTGCTGGTGCCGGCCAGCCGAAGGCCTTCTGCAACAGCTGTCCGTCAGCTGTGATCGGGTTTCCTTTTTTAGAATTTCCTGTGGCTTGAGGCCTGTGAATGCTGAAGTGCTTTCACACACAAACCTTTCCTGGCGTGGGAAAAGTTGGAGTGCAGCAGCCTACATGGAGCCATGTGGAAATCAGGCTGCGTAGCCGATGATTGTAACTTTAGCATGTAGTCTGCAAACGGTGTGAACACGCCGTTTATTCGTAGATCTTTGCTCCCTCCCAGCCCGCCCTGTGGATTCAGTTCCGTCAGGGTTCGGTTGTGACGGAAAGATGCCTGAAAGGAGATTCCTGAAAGGTGCCTGTATCTTTAAGAGATCCTTCACTGCTGGTGCCGGCCAGCCGAAGGCCTTCTGCAACAGCTGTCCGTCAGCTGTGATCGGGTTTCCTTTTTTAGAATTTCCTGTGGCTTGAGGCCTGTGAATGCTGAAGTGCTTTCACACACAAA